AAACGGTAACCTGGTTGCCGAGTTCACGAAGTGAATCGGCTTGTTTTACAACGTCGTTGCCAAGCGACGAAAACCCAACCCCGATGGCAAACACCGAGGGGGAGGGGCGGCCGGAAGGGGGGGGGGTACATTGTACTGTAGAGAGTTACAAATGTATGTTGTTGAAGATTGTATAGTTGCATATTTTACGCAGCGTGGGTGTTGTTGTTGGCTTTGTATTACAGGTTAAACATAGGTGTGGTTGTGTGCAAAATATCGTGCGGTGCTGCCGTAAAATCCTGCTTTTTTCCCGGTCGAGTTGAGACATATTTGTTCGAGTTAGTGCACGCGCATTTTGGCGTCGTGAGCTTTTAATACATGTTTCACATCATCACGCCCAGTAGGTACAACTCATGTACGTCATGGGCTGGTAGGCAGCGCCAGTATGCCTCCTCCCAACTACACCGCTTTCGCACACGTCTCTACGGTCCCTAGACCCCCCATTTTCCTATATAAATTGTGTGCCCCTGCACCCAGGTTCTGAGGCCAGAACGAAATTCTGGACTTCCCGCGCGGTTTTTTCGAATCAGAACCCGAAATTTTGAGACGGCATCTGCGTGAGTTGTTGTTGTTGTTGTCTTCACATTAAAAACCATCCCGGTCTCTCTATCCAGTACCTCCTTCTGTCTCAATCTCTCCGTACTAATCCAGCACTTTACTCGGTCAATTTCCGTGGTCACAGGCTAACGTACCTAGAAAAGGTATACCAAACTAAAATTGACCCTAAGGGTTAGCAGAGCGATAAAATACAAGAAAACAAAAGAATCAGAAATGAATAAATAAATAAATAGTGGAACGTGCGCACCGCCAGCCTGGGGGGTAGCCTCCCGGAAGGACCCCAAGGGTCAAAAGTACATGCATGCCAGTAAAACATGAGTACAACAAAAAAAAAGTCACGGCGCCATCTGGATTTGTTTTTTTCCTCACTTTGGCCCAAAACAAGTATTCCCATATTTACAACAATAGGGGTAACTCATGAAAAAAAACAAATCCAAATGGCGCAGTGGCTTTTTGTTGTTGTTGTACTCACACAGATGCCGTCTCAAGATTTCAGGTTCTGATTCGAAAAAATCGCGCGGGAAATCCGGTCCAACCGTGAAATACGCCTCTTGGCTGGACCAGCTTGTAGCATTTTTGTGACCACGGACCGAGTCTTTGCTTGATTTTGGGATTAGCAACTGACACGAGTTTAATGCGAAGAAAACAACAACAACAACAACAACAACAAGCTTGTGTGTCTGCAGACCACGCGAATGTTGACGTCACACTTGTGCACGAGACAGAGGCGATGATGACCTGACCTCCCCTGCATGTTTGAAGAGCAGTTTCACATTGCTTCAGTTTCACAGGCAGGTTCAGAGCGTGCGCCCACCGTGCCGTTTGACTCCCTTTAGAGAGCGAAGCTACACGACAACAAGTGAGCGAGACAGAGGCGGCGCCAAAGGTCTACACACTGGGAACATCGTCCGTGTGAACGCTGCTGTGAAGCTGCAGGTGAGTTTTTTTTTCGGGGAAGCACCTGCCGCGCCAAAACGAGTGCAATACGAATGTAGACGTCGGGGAAGCTAGAAAGCAGGCTGTAGCACGGGTGGATTCTGGAGCGCCTATGCATTCCTTGCTTGGTTGGATTCTTGGTACACTCAGGCGTATGTGTGCGGGTGCCCTTTCCTCCGACGTGAGAAAATGATATGTGTGCAGGTCGCCGGCAGGAGATGCGGCGCGGGACGAGGGCAGAAATGTATAGATTCCTCCGGGGCGAAGTCCCTCGATGGACACGCAGAGTAGACTAGACTATATGGCAACGTACAATGCCAATGAACACCACCACTAGTCAACCGAGAGTTGCGGCGACGGAAAATCAATCAAACTACAGCTGTGTCAGCCGCCAGCACAGCACAGGTGCATACATCTACTACCAGGTATGTACCAGTTGTTGAGTAGCTTGGTGCGCCCGGCGCAGTTGTAGACAGCAAAGAACCGCGCGGCGAGTTTGCCGGCAACAATAAAATACAGTAAACTGCCCGCGGATCGGGTAACCCGCCGCATCTGTGATGTTCCGGAGCGTGATGGCTCTGATGTATTGAAGCTGATGCTATGATAGCTGTTGTGATGGCGTGATAGCCTAGAGGCGTGACAGCCTGGCAGCGTGATAGCCGGTGGATATGTGTGGACACGGGCGTGATAGCCCAGAGCGTGATAGCCGGGAAAAGGAAGACGAAAATTATCCAAGTGCACGTGGTCAACACCGTTGCAGACACGTATCCCCAGGAAACAATATGTGGCAAAGATGGTACCACCATTCCCGCAATATACCACAACTGCGGAACCCCAACAATTCCCCGCTCCATCTTCTCGGAACGTTCCTCGGTTGCAATAATCTGTCAATGCTGTGAGTACATCCAACACCAGTGCTGCACTCTCGGCTGAAAAAAAAAATCGGAGGAAGACAAGGAAGAGAACAAAGAGTTCGGCTTATATGCACACAGAAGACCAGCGCGACCGGCGTACATTCACCCAAGCCTGAAGGCTCACAGCAGTGGACTATTCCAATAGCTATCGAGGGAAGATTTTTGCCATATTCCGTTCACCGTAGTAGGCTTCAAGGTTGTCGGTATTCGTACGTTTGTATGTCCTTTACTTGGAAGGGGGAGATTTGTTTTATCTCTTGTAGTAAGCACGCGAAAGGGGAGCGGAGGAAGAGTGAGGTCCCGATAAGCTCGAGAGAGCTCGAGAGGTTCCACCGCATAGTAACCGTCATGGTATACAAGCTGGTTCAGGGAAATGGATACAAGAAGATTCAACAGCAAAACTTCACGCCGTTTTTAGGAGTTAGACTCTGAAACTTTGCACACATGTACCTTGGGTCATTACAAAACGCTGTGTCGAAGGGCCTTTTTTTTTTTCCCTGTCGCCGGATATCCGGGGTCCTAGAGATTTCGGGGTCGTGTGCGGCTCCTGGGACCCCGAATAACTGGCGACCATGGAAGGAAATGAAAAAGGCCCCGCCACACAGCGTTTNGAATAACTGGCGACCATGGAAGGAAATGAAAAAGGCCCCGCCACACAGCGTTTCGTATTGATCCAAGGTACATGTGTGCAAAGGTTCAGAGTCTAACTCATAAAAACGGCGTGAAGTTTTCAACTCTTGTGCCATGAAGCATTTCGCATCCTGGATTTCCCCAAACTAGTTGATTAAAGTATCAAACGGCGAAATTCAGGTTCTTTTGGCGCCCAAACGACCCCATTTCATCAGGTTACCGAATTAGTTCATGAAAATTCATAGACACGGTCTTTGGAATATGTAGGTAAGGTGGAATCAAGGAAAAAAAAAATCACATATTGGGACAGATTTTTTGGGTCCCGCAAAAGGGGCTATCGCCAACGCAGTTTGGCCCACCGACGGCAAGTCATAAATCGACCATTTTTCGACCGTATTAGGCCAGTTTATGGAAGATGTCGACGAAACTCCATGCGAAGCTTTATTGCACTGTAACGGTGTCGTTGGTTAGAGAAAGAATCACAAACAGCCATGTTACCGGCATGTTGGGGTCTGCAAGAGAATCTACCTACTTTTTAGACGGAAACACCGACCGTGCTGCCCCGAAGAGAGATTTTTTATCATCGCAGCGCGGCCTTGTGCCAGCTTAACTGGGTGATAAAACACTGTTGATTCATGCACCGAGAACGCAATCATGCCAACATGCATGGACCGGTTTGCTGAGGGTCACACCGCACCGAACGAATAACATGTCGAGACGGGATAACCCGATCGACAGGCATGAAAACGCACCCAGTCCATCACATTATAAAAATATACAACCGTACTCTGTGCAACCAATGCATTGGGCTATAGGAACTGTTCCAAAATAATCAAAGACATATCAACCGGTTGTCCGGGGTTGCGTGCACGTCGCATGGAGAAGAAAGGTCCGGTGAGTGCTTGTAGTCGTTCATACTCCGCCTTGCACTCGAGGGCTGCTGCCTTGTATTCTCAACTTGTTGACGGGCAGCTGCGGCTTCGACGGCGAGCCTTGAAGCCTCGTCCAACGCCGCGGCCGTTGCGTGTGCGGCGAGAACCTCCGGAGGGTCGGCCACGCTGATGTCGCTCGTGGGTGCATCAATCACCGGGGGTGGCTGCTCGTGAGGCTCCAGCAGCGTGACGTGTTGCCCCTTCGTTAGCGTGGAGAACATAGCCACGGCCTGTGCGTCCATTGCAGCAGCCTCCTGGTCGCACTCTGCAACCCGCCGCTCCATGTATCTCCTCCGCTGTTCTGATTTGCGATCGCGCCTGACGTACGCAAACGCCCGGCGCCCGAGTCCGGCGTTACGCAACCTGCTGCAGCGTAGGCGCATCAGGATTCTGGCCTCCTGCTGCAACCCCCTCAAAGCTCTAGCGCGTCCCGCTTGTTTTTGGATGGCACACTTCTTGGCGACTTCGCAGTTCGGCGTCGTGCCTGAACACCGGTGGGGGGTAATTTTAACGGAGGACAGACCGGAACATACGGCGATAGTATGGCTGTTAATGAAACTGTGCGATGAAGCTTGGGAAAGGACTGTGTCTTGGTAGAAAAAACCAAAGAGCGCCTGCTAGAGGACCGTAGTGGGTGCGGTATGCCCTTGTGTCGGTTGCTGCTGGACGCGACTTGTAAGAGTTGGGCACCTTGTTTTTGAGACGGGTTGCATGTATACAAGTTCGGGCCTGACTTGTACACAATGTTTTCTTGTATCATGATGGAGCTCCTTCACTAGATCGTACTGTAACTGCTTCTTCAGCTCCTCACGGTGCGCTTGCTCGTCTTGCATGCGCTCCTCCAACAGCGATTCGCGGATACATTCCGCAACGATCTCCGGACCGTTCTCGGTCTCCAGGACGGTTGATAACTGGCGCCTCGCTCGGCTCTTCCTCGGAGCTCCGCAACTCCCGGGTCTGCTTCCGGGTGCGGCCGGGCTGGAGCACATGGCGCAGCTGGCCGGCGCTCGACGCTCCCCAAAGAAGTTTCTTCCCTTCCGTTCCTGACGGGTAGCGGCTGTCGACGGGATCGTTCTTCAACTCCTCGAGCGTCTCAGGGTCGCCGCCTTCATTGCCGTCACCATCGTTCACACCGGGGTCGCCTGTCTCGCCGCCGCCATCGTCATCGCTGCCTGGGTCGACGGCCTCGCTGCCGTCACCGTCGTCGTTGCTGCCGTCGTGGCTAGATGTGCTGCTGACGGGCTCGCTCCCGCCGCTGCTCTCATCACCAGAGTCGCCGCTAAGTGGCTCGCTGCCGCCGCCGTCGTGGTTGTTGGAGACGTCGCTGGGGCCACTGCTGTCATTGTTGTTGCTGCTGTTGCCGGCGGGGTCATCGCCACCGCCGAAGTCACCCCCTCCCGAAGAGGGCGACCGGGGACCTCCGCCTTCGTCCCCCTGCATCCCATTTCCGGGTGCCGCAGGCGCCCCCATGCGCTCGAGTGGAGTCGCTTGCCCCAGCCCACGAGCGTCATCTACGTCGAGGTCGGACTCACTCCTCCAGTCTTCTTCCCCCCCTCCACCTTGACGTGACGCGCCCTCATTGCTCTCGCCCTCCCGGCCCACCTCATCATCTGCGAGAGGCACTGGCTGCAGGGGGCCGGGCCAGGCAGCGGGCACTTGGCGCCAGGTGAAATTTCGGGTGACGATTACTGTTCGCTTAGCATGCGAACGTAATCACGGGAGTGGTTGTGGGCTGGTCCAAGGTATCATCCTTTCTGTCCCTTGGGTTGCGACTCTGGCTCTCTTCTTGATTTGAAGACGGCTGGTTTGAGGAACGGGTACGTTGACCCGACCGGTGGCGGTGTGCCGTGAAACATCTCGCAGGGGGTTTTGTGGCCAGGGTTGCCCATGGTGGCGGTGCAGTTTCTTTGGTGGCACGCGCAAGAGATGGCTTCAGCCCATAACTTGGGGGTACTGGGCGCATCGGGGAAGAGTGCCGTAGCTTGGATACGCGCGGCGAGCGCGGCATCAGTGATCACCCCCAACGCTCTCTCATCTACACCGTTGTACTTGGCCGTGTCAGGAGGGGTAAACTCTTGCTTGATGCCGTATTTGCGGCAAACATCCGCGAACGCCCCTTGAAACGCCACCACCGTCAGTCCGTGCGACGTAAACTTCACACGGAACCCCCGCTGCTCGGTAGTCTGCCAAGAAGTGCTTACATTTTTCGGCTGCGTCAGATTTTCGCTTCAGAATGAATACGCGCGTCCAACGCGTGTGATCGCACACGATTATGAGGGTGTACAGGCTGCCCCCGATGCTTGCGATCTTCATTTCCCCCCTTAGGTCGACGAATACGCGAAACAGCTTCTTAATTGTGCGCGGATGTGCTCGTGCTGACGGGTTTCACCTGTCCCTTGGACACCGAACAGCCGAGGCATGGTAGCAGCGGTCCTCCCGCAGCTGCACTCCCTGCTGCTTCGCCGTGTCTCTGAGCAGTTTCTCGTGGGCGTGCAGGTGGAAGTTGTGGTAG